GACATCTGCCAGACTTGCTGTATATTCYAGTATTGTGGGTACAGCTGCACAGTAAAGCAGTTTTCATTTTGCTAGACTGGGAATATTTTTTTCCTCATTAATCTGCCTGCCAGTGGAATAGAAAAGCTYTTCAGACTGGATGGATATGTGCTTGAGATCCTGCTGTGATCCCTTTTGTGTAGGGCTGTTTTCCTGCCTTGCRCAGCTATTGCAAAAATGCATATTTTGAAAGTGGTCTAAAACCATTCTGAGGGTTGTCCATTTTTCATAGATCTTTATAGTGTTTTCTCTTCATCCTTGCAGTTGTTGACAACAGTAGTAACTGGGCAGTCTGTGGAAAAAGCTCTGGAGTGATTTCTATGCCTGTAGCACCTCGAGCTACTCACAAAGTCCACATGGAAGTGATGCCACTGTTTGCTGGCTATCTGCCTTTCCCTGATGTCAGATTGTTTAAATACCTCCCTCACCATTCTGCTCACTCCATGCAACTTGATGCTGGTAAGGCTACTTTGACCATGTGGCTTCTTATAGAAATTAGTCTGCTTTTTTCCTTTTTTTTCCTGTGTTCTTGTGTAAAGAGAAAAGCAAGGCAAGAAATATATTGACAATATATGGACTTGGTCATATATGGGCCAGGTGCTCATAGGTGTCCTTTGTTACCTTCACTCACAATTCTAATTTGAAATTTGTTCTAATGGGAAATTTGAGTTTGGGCTGCCACCTGAATCTCTGAGGAGGAATTATAAATGCATTGTTCTCTTACATTCCTTTTAAAGATTAGTGTGCAAATTAGTTGCCACTGGATTTATAATCAAGTGAAAATTGTTTGRTAACTCTCTAATCCTGCAGTTCCATTTTCTGTAAATTGTGTGTCTTCCTTAGCTTTAAATTTTTTTCCCAGTTTTCAAGGGATTGAATATGAAATAAAAGAACTRCTGAAAATCTGTGGCATATAAACTAGACTAAATGCAGAGCTCAAATTACCATAGCCTGTTTAGAGTATTTATCTGTACTGAGGAGTGCCAGAGCTGTAGAGAGAATTCAGTCATAAAAGSAACATAGCTTTTGTCAGCAGAGCTCCAGGAGCTGCCAGTGGGCATCCGTGTAGCTTGTGAGGTCAGATGTGAGGTCATGCTACTGAAATTTTCCTTTGAAACCAATATAATTCATTGTTACATCTGGTGCTGGCCAAAAGTGTGCACAGACTGTTACCTCAGCAGACATGATCAATAACTGTGAACATGTGCTAAGCTGACTGTCTGAGCACTGAAATGACCTTTTAGAGTTGTTTAATCGGTAGAATAAAACTRTGGGGTATTTTTTGTTTCAAACAGACAGCTGGATTGAAAACGATAACCTGTCTGTGGACAAGAATGTGGATGACCAAGCTGACAGCAGCAGCATCAGGAGCAGGGGGAGCCTTCATTCCACAGCCAGCGGGGAGCACAAGGGTTTGCCCATGCCCCGGCTCCAGCCCTTCTCCCCGGGCCAGGTCTTCAACAGCAGCACGGGAATGCAAATCCTTGTCATTCCCAGCAAGGACGACCACGTTCTGGAGGTCAACGTTACGTGACAGCTCGGATYGGAGACAAGGAACCCGTTAGGAACTGGAAATGAAAGCACTTTATGGGATAATGACCTGATCAGTCTTCGTTGCAACATTAACTCCAAGGAGACCTGTGGCACTCGGCGTGTACTGGCCATGGAAGCAGCAGACAATTGTATCAATTTCAATGTACACTGAGGCTTGTGTCAGCTAGTTTATATTGCCACTTTAGTATGTTTTGTGTCAGCTATTGGGTTTTCTCCCTGCAGTCACATCCCTGCATCACAACAACACAGGGCAACAAAAAGCAAAAAATCCAAATCTTTGGACCACTTCTTTATTTTTGTTGGGCAGCTGAGAGATTTTTTTTTCATGCTTCCTGTTTTAGAATGTAGAGTTGGATGATATAATTATCCAAATCTTGAATTTTTATGTAACTTACAGACTTTTCCACACGTGCCAGAAATATAACAGAACATACAACAGCACATTCACTGGTGTAACACTTGCTTTTCTGGTTTGGTTTTATTTTGTTTGTTTGTTTGATCATTGTTAATTCCTGCCATTGCAATTTTATGTTAAACTTCCATCATTTGCATATTTAGATGCATGGAAGAGCTACTGCTAGAAACAATCTTAACTGAACAAAATTCCTTAATTTTCTGAGGCTTTCTCCTTCACACAGTAGACACTGTGATGTCACATATGATTTTTTTCTTTTTGGGGTGGGCTTTGGGTCATCCTCTTGCATATTTCTTACCAAAGAAAGATATTGATAGAATTTAAAATAAATTATTTGGCATATTGAGTTCCCAGATTAATTTCTTTTATTACCATTTCCAAGTGGCTTGGTTTGCTGCCCCAATTTTTAAATTGGGGCAAAAATTTCAGTATGATGTGATACTTGAACAGTCAACCTTTCATCATAAAGGCTTAGTGTAATTATTACTGATTAGAGGCCAGACTTGTGYATTCATGATGAAAAAAGGAGGTTGGTTTGATGTAGGAAAGCTTGCAGATGTAGAATAATCGTGAAGCAAAGTTAAAACATGTAACTTAAAGAATTTCATTATTTATATCTGAAATGTAAATACAAAAAATGTAAAAAAAAAAAGTGTAATTTTTGTGAATGTTGCAAATCCACCTGTGACTGGAAAAATTACAACTTCTTCTGATGTCCTGCTTCTGATATTGAAACATGTGCATTTAACGTGAGAATGACCTTTTCTACTTGCAGATCTAYAATGGTGCGTTGTCAACAGACTCCACAGAGGAAACAGTCCCATCTCAAATACTTGTCAGCAAAACTAAAGTGAGGAGCTGCTCATTAGAGAAATTCATTGTCATTATCTTTTTCTTCTGCTAAATTATAAAGGTGAAATAGAAAACAAACCCTCTTTCCAAAAAGAACCACAAATAAGTTGAAAAATTAATAGGTACCCTGCACTGGTCTAAACTTTTTTTTTTCTTTTTTTAAATTTTCATTTTTTTATTTAAGAAGTCTAAATAGATGTATGAAGTAGACCTGCTAGCTGAAAATGTTCTTATTATGCATCTTCTTTCTGTGAAGGAATGCCCTTTCTCTGTGGAAATCATACCATTTTATTCTGGATAAAACCCAAAGCATCATTTAGTGCRAATGGCTGCTGGGATTCTTTGACTGGAAAAGGCAACAAGTTAGTGACTTTGACACTGCAGGTATTATTAATTCCATTTTCATGGTTTGCTATTAAATCATTTTTCACATTGTTCTGTAATATACTGTTAGATTAAACACATTGTACTAAGATTGTTTAATGAAATTGTAAGCGTTACAGTTCTAAATATACATGTTTTAAAAAGAAATCAACTTCTCCACTGCTGTGAGTTCTGTTCTGTTTGGAGGAATGATTRTTTCATCTGTCAAACAAAGCTGTTGTTGCCTGCAAAAATCAGATTTGTTACCTGGTGCACAACAAGCCAATAATTACACACTTGAGAGAGACATTGATTATTTATTTCAGAGCTGCACAGGCCTCCATGGTATTGCACAAATCAAGCACAGCCACCCCTCCAGTCTTCTCCTGCTGTTTATTCACAGAAGTTCAGTGTTAGCAGCCTCCCAAGTACAGCCCTTCTGTTATGAATGGTTAATAATTTCCACACAAATTGTGTAATCCCAGCTAATTTCAGTGCGTGCTCCAGGTGAGGATTTTCAACWGGGCAGGGTCTTTTTGCCCTATATGCCTGACTTTTAGTATAATAATAGAGACAGTTCAGTTACACGGTACCTGGAGCTGAGTCTTTTGCCAGGTTGGCRACATACACACAGACATACATCCACATCTTGATTTACTGCATCCTTAAAGCTCGTTAGTTCCATGATGTCCATGACTTAGGGATGCTGTCTGTGCCACTGATTAATTCTCCTTCCTTACTGATTAGGCTTGAAAGTATACAAAGATCAGCCATCAAAGAACGTCCTGACTGAAGTTAATTTTGATATATTCCACATTTTGAAACCTGTGAGTGATCATGCAGGGACCCAGCTGTAGGAGCACGGACAGTAAGGAGTTAATGGATTGCTGTGCCTCAAAACACCAATAATCATTCAAGCAGTTAATAGGAAGGTAGGGCAGCATCTTCCTGGTACCGCTTTGCTGTGCCGGTCCATGGTGGCCACACAAGCCCCAGTGCAGGCACAGAAGTGCGGTCAAGGAGCGGGCAAGACCAAGAGGAGGGGATAGAGACCACCAAGGACCCCAGAGCACCCTGTTGGACACTTTTTGGAACTCTCCCTCAGAAGGTGGTGCATGCCCCAGTCTTGCATCAGACATGCAGAATGGCCATTGCCCCTTATCCCGACGCTGCGCACCACTGAAACAGCCTGGCACCATTTTCTCTGTATCCACCTTGGAGATATTATATGGATTGATGAGGTCTCCTCTCAGCCCTCTTTTCGCCAGACTAAACAGGCCCAGCCCCCGCAGTCATCCCAAGGCATTTACTAAAATGTATAAATGCCTTAATGTATTTCCTAAAAAAAGCCCCACAGCTGCCCTAGCCCGTGGCGGGTGCTGGGGAGGGCC